TTTTTTTTTTTTTTTTTTTGCTTTGTTTTTGAGACAAGTGTAGCCCTGGCTGACCTGGACCTCCCTCTGTAAACCAGGCTGGTCTCAAATTCAGACACCCATCTGCCTCTGTCTCCCAAGTGCTGCGATTTAAATACTTATGCGAGCACTGTCCAGCTTCTTTTCACTTATTTATTTATTTAATATTTTTTGGATTTATTATGTATACAGTGTTCTACCTGCATGTATGCCTACAGTCCAGAAGAAGGCACCAGATCTTATTATAGGTGGTTGTGAGCCATCATGTGGTTGCTGGGAATTGAACTCAGGACTCCTGGAAGAGCAGCCAGTGCTCTTAATCTCTGAGCCATCTCCCTAAGGCAGGATCTTTCGCTGCTGCTGCACTCTCTACCCCAGGTTAGCTGGCCTGTGGGCTTCCTGGCGATTCTCCTGTCTCCAGCTCTCATGTCATTTCGGAGTGCTGTTTATAGATGTGACACCACATCAGGCATTTGTCAGGCTTCATAGCTAATAACCTGTCTCAGGGAAAAAATAAAATAAAAAGATTGCATCTCACTGTGTAGTCCAGGCTAAGATACTTAGCTGAGGTAGGGTATCCCACAAATATGAGGCAGACTAGCCTATGGAGGGAAACCTTGCCTCAAGGGAAGGGAGGTATGTGGGAAAGAGGGTAAAATATAGATGAGGACAGTACATCTAACCTGAATATTCTAGTTGTACTTTTTTTATTCCCCCTGAGACAGAGTTTCTCTGTAGCTTTGGAGCCTTTCCTGGAACTCACTCTGTAGACGAGGCTGACCTCACACTCAAATCTGCTTGTCTCTGCATACCAAGTGCAGGGATTTAAGGCAAAGGCATGCACACCACTGCCTGGCTGGCTGTACTTTTGGGTGTCAATAGTTTTCTCTCCTTTATTTCTCAGGAGTTAATTGTTGTTTATGTCACAAGGACCACTGCAAGCTCAGGGCTAGTCTGCCTGGTCTACAGGTGAGACCCAGTGGGATGCTCTGACTGAGAATGTTTGAGGATTCAGAGGTGTGGCCTTGTTGAAGGACTTGTGTCACTGGGTTGGCTTTAAGGTTTCAAATGCCAGCACTATTTTCAGTTAACTGTCTCTGTCCTGCTGCTTCCACGTCCCCCACCATAATGACCATGGACTCTAACCCTTTCGGGTGATGAGCAAGCCCCCGATAAACTCTTTGATGCCTTGGTCATGCTGCCCCTTTACTGCAATGGAAAAGTAGCGAATGGCAGACGAGACTGCTCCTCAGGTAAGTGTTGGCCATGCAGGCCTGATGACCTGAGTCCCGTTCCCGGGACCCCGTGGGAGGAGCATATTGCCCCCAAGAGCTGTTCTCCACATTACACAAACAGTCACACATGTAATACAATAATAAAAATAAAACTTCATTTATTAAAAAAAAACCTTTTATTTATTTTTAGACAGGTCTCACTATTATGGTCCTGGCTGGCGTAGAACTCACAGAGATTCACCTGCCTACTGAGCACCAAGATTAAAGACATGAACCACCATGCCCTGCAAAAAACAAAACAGCCTGGTCTACAAGAGCTAGTTCCAGGACAAGGCTCCAAGGCTACAGAGAAACCCTGTCTCAAAAAACCAAGATTTTGTCTATTCCTCTGCTTACATGTGCCACCAAAAAGCTGTTAGCAATCACTTATTGTCTGTCATAGAGCAGATGCTCAGAAAATACTGATATGTCTCTCATGTCTCTTCCTCCCTTCAAACTGTGAGAAAAGTTGGTTTTCGTCTTTATATCAAAAGATGGCTAGCCCATGAATGGCCAATATTTCACAAATCTCCCCCACCTCATAAAACTACTATATAGCAAGGAATCCAAATCTCTTTACTCACCTGGTAAAACTTTGTTTACAAAAAGCCTTGCTGGCTGGGCGGTGGTGGCACACGCCTTTAATCCCAGCAGAGGCAGGCGGATCTTTGTGTAGGCCAGCCTGGTCTACAGAGCTAGTTCCAGGGCAGTTTCCAAAGCTACAAAAAACCCCGTCTCAAAACCAAAACCAAACAAACAAACAAAGCAAAAAGCCTTGCTGTGGCCCGGCAGTGGTGGTGCACCTTTAATCCCAGTACCAGGCTTGCAGATCTCTGTGAGTTCAAGGCTAGCCTGGTCTACAGAGTGAGTTCCAGGACAGCTAGGGCTACTGTTCAGAAAAACCCTGTCTCAGACAAACCAAAGGGCTGGGGAGGGTGAACAACAAAAAACCCTTGCGGCATTTCCAGTACTTGCTGGTCTGCACGCGCGGCTGACCCCTTCCCTCTTTCTCTCATTTCCTTTTTGAG